CAACTGATGTGGAGTGCTGGATTACACAGAACATATACCAGAGAGAGAAGCAATCTGCTACCCCAATCCAAAACAGGAGATAAAAGGGCCATGGAATGCTATTCAGAATGTACAAATATGTGCAGTATGCAGTCAGGAGAGAGAATCTAAGAGAAGAGGAAGGAGAAGAACAGGAAAGAACCAAAAGAGAGTAGCAAAGGTATTCCAGGGGTCAAAGGCGCAGAATTATCAAAATTCCAGCAGCTGATGGTCAAAATACGAAGCGTGAGAATGCATTATCTAAGGTTACCAAGCTCTGAGAAATTTATTGTGGAAGGCAGTCAATATGGCGTTCAGTTATTCTTTTGGTGTTTTGCCGCCTCAAAGCTAAGAGTGAGAGACATCCTTGCTCTGGCAATAGTGACTCGCTGTGATAGTGGTCGCTGTGACTAGGTGAGTTGCAAGTTGCCGTTTAGCACAAAAGAGGGTATCAATGGCCCTTAAAAGAAGATCCTCAAAAGGGTTTCTTTTAAAATTTGAGTGTAGAAATGTTTGAAGCAGAGCGTAGACCCGAATCAATAAACTCACTTTTAGACAAAACCCCCAAATGTGCGCCATTGTTCCTGGCTGGGCACAACCACAAAAGCAAGTCGAGGGGTAATTAGGAACAATTCCAGCTAATTGAGCTGGTGTATATTACCAGTAATGTAACACTTTGTATGCATTTTCAAGAATGAGGACATTTTTTCAGCATTTTAAAGTCATGATCTGCCAGTCCTGAGGATCCAACTAGTTCTCTAGTTCATGTTTCTGTTTCCTATACGATCACATTGGGGGTTTATTGGAAATTATCGAAGAATAGATCAGGGAAATAAGACCCGTGAGTGAGGGCATGAATGACAATGACTTTAAAAGGACATCAAGCTATATGGAGTGAATTCAGAGTGAATGTGACCAAAGACAAAATGACGAAGCTGTAAGTAGCAATAATGTTTGCGTAATGATATCTCGTCAGAATATCGAAGGGTTTCAAAAGTCAGTATGCTGGTGGGTGTGAGAAGAGTGGACATTTATAGAGGTATGTTCAGACCGCTAGAGGAATTGTGTTAGATTCTCAAATGGGGGGAAATCAAGCCAGCAGAGAATTTAACAGACTCCCATAGCTGAAGAGTGTGAAGTAAGATGGGGCTCAAGGTAGAAGGGATGCTGGAAGGAGCCAGGGTAAAGAAAATAACAGAATGGGTGGCCCAAAGTGGAAGGTGATGGGTGGCGTGGAGGTACAAACGTGGAACTCTACTGGCCGGCACATAGCCTGAAGGTTGGGGACGGACAGCCTGCCATTTTTTTTTACGAGCGGATATTCGCTCTTGATACAAGGGCTGGAAGAAAATAAATTGCAAAGTATTCCAACGGTGGATCTGAAGTATGAGAGGGCACAGGGACTGGAAGAACCTTGAAACCATACAGAAGTTTAGGGAGATAAGTCATATGGATTGCATTAATGCTGCCGAAACAGGACAACGGAAAGTGACTCCAAGAAGGCAAAATGCTGAATAATTAGCTTGGTAAAGCCCATTGTAAGAAGGGGTTAATTTAACATCAAAGTATATAGCAAAGTCGTGGCCCACTGGAAAGGGGAACAATGTTGCAATACGTCCTATGTCTGGTCAGTCAGGGTTCCCGACATCATTACCGATTTGATGGGATTAACACGCAGTCCAGAAAAAGTGGTGGAGTCCTGTGTTTTCGTTTTTTTTTTTTTTTTTTTAGTAGAATTCTCATGAGCATTAAAAAAAATTAAACACGGTCCATATATTCATGTCTTAAGTACCTGTGTTGGCCTCCACAATAAAACATTATTGAAATGTGGAAGAAATCCCTTCTTGCTTTTTAGCATTTCTTCCCCCTCCCCCTGATAGAAGGCCGATTTGTGGGCATTACTAACATTGAGCTTTTTTGCTACCTCCCCTTGTTTAGGGAGCATACCCAGGGGACGATGTGTACCAGAAAGATCCCACCCAGTTCCCCTGTTCCACCCTTCCATCTTTTAAATGATTACTAGCAACTGATGTTACCCAGCCACCTGTTTATTAACAACCATGGACCCTGTGGGGCCTGGCCTCCTGTGTCCTAGCGAAAAGACAACCCCAGCCCCTCCCAAATAACTAGTGGTGTCACTTTTTGAGGAAACTCCTGATTTCATAGAGACAAGTAATGTTCTCTAGTTAAATATTACTTGTTAGACGTGTTGGTGGTCAGCGGTTGAGATGGAGGGTGTACTGCCAACCACACTACTTCAGCAATACACGACACAGAAAGACGGGGAGCAGGAGCAGAAAATATGTTTGAAACTTCTTTAGTAGAATGGTAAATTTAATATTTGGCCAACCAAATGCACTTGCAGCAAACAACCGGTTGCACATGAATGTGTATAAATGCTTGTGAATAACCTGGCTTTTACTGCTGCTTTTCTCCTGCAATGGACACAGTGTGCATGAAGCCTACTAATGTCAGCTCTTTTATGCGGCAATGACCTTCTCTGTAACTTGCACCGTTCATCATGTTCACGAGAAACAAATGCATGATTTACCTACTAATCCAGTAGAAGCTCATTGGTGACCCGGACTTATCACTGTGAGGGCTTATGTCCTTGTCATCTGTGTGCGACCTGCAGTTCATGTGGATTTGCTGGTCCCCAGCCTGTATTGTGATCAGTGGTTTTTTTTTTTTTTTATACAAAGTAAGCACAGGATTCCTTTGTTTTTTTAATGTTATTTAAAATGAGCTAATAGGGTTACACATTTTTGCACTACACACAAATCTCTCCATGAATAATACATTTGGGTAACCAGTGGCTGGCTGCTATAGTCCGGAGATCATCCAGGCCTTGACCCTTCTCACCAGTAATGGTCTAGTTGTGTAAGCATTAAATGCTTTTGAACTGATGGCTTAGTGCCTAATATTGTGGCCTTGCAGCGCTGCCAGGGTTTGCTCCCTTAGAGTACCCAGGGATAGACTTTCTTTTTTCTTTTGTAAAATGTTTCTTTAAAAAGTTTAAATAGTAAAAGTCCGTTGTACGGACTGATCTACACTAACAGTTTCAATTTTCGGTAACACAAATTGCAAATCAGCCAATCACATGGCAGCAACTCGATGCATTTAGGCATGTAGACGTGGTGAAGATGACTTGCTGAAGTTCAAACTGAGCATCAAAATGGGGAAGAAAGGGGATAAGTGACTTTGAACATAGCATGGGTGTTGATTCCAGCTGGGCTGGTCTTATGTCTACAGTGTACTCATCTTCCTATGGCTCCTTCCAGCAGGATAATGTACCATGTCACAAAGCTCAAATCATCTCAAACTGGTTTCTTGAACATGGCAATGAGTTCAATGTACTACAATGGCCTCCACAGTCACCAGATCTCTATCTAATATAGCAACTTTGGGATGTGGTGGAGTGGGAGATTTGCATCATGGATGTGCAGCCGACAAATCTGCAGCAACTGTGTGAGGCTATCATGTCAATATGGACCAAAATCTCTGAGGAATGTTTCCAACACCTTGTTGAATCTATGCCATGAAGAATTAAGGCAGTTCTGAAGCAAGGTGTACCTAATAAAGTGCCCAGTGAGTGTACAGCTCCTGCATATGTCGGTGCTGTGTGTACTGCTCTTATCACAAGCTGCAAACTTCCCCTTTTGTACCGGATAACATCCTGTTTTATTTGACCTCCCTCATGGTGACTTTTGAATTCTTTGCAACCAAGGGATTGAAATTACAAATGTATCATACTGAAAAGCTTAGATCGGCCTTTCTCAATGTTTCGCAACAAAGCGGAACCCTTGAAATACTTTTCAGGTCTAACAGAACCCCTGCTATTCTCATATATACAACTGATGGAATATTAGTGTGATCAGTGGGAGGAATGCACTTTACATTGGAGAGAAGCCCACCTAAAGATCATTGGGGTTGTGGTTACTCATCTAAAAGTCAGAAGTTTCTCATTGTACAAGGAACCCCAGGGCACGGTACCCAGTTGATAGAGGCTGGATTAGGCAGGCCATACATGATTTATTATTTTTTTTTTTTTTTTTCATTCTACCAGTGGGTTGAACAAATAACAAAAAAAAAATGAGCCAAATGTGTGTTGATGCATGACTCCTTCCTGCTGAGCTATTGTATTCTGCCATCAGGGAGCCATCCCCACCAGAAGAATACAATGATCAGTGTTTCTGGCTGTACAGTAATGAGCAGCTGAAAATCCTACGTGGGTGATCTGACTCCCCCCAAGACTGCCTAACCAGGTTGGCAGAATGCTGTTGGATTTGATGATGGTTTCCTTACCTGGTCAATCACGTTATATTGTCAGGTACCTTTTGTAATGCTGTCCATTTTATAGATGTATTACTAGAGACACGTTAAGGCCTCTTTTACACAATCAACTTGATCGGGCCCTCTATTCACCTCTATGGAGTGGCTGGTGTAAACAGACTTGTGTCCGTTTTGTGTGCAAAAAAGAACAAATGGGGCAGTCTGGTGTAAATTAACAGCCAGTCCGTTTACACACGAATGGGCTGTGTCTGCTCTGCATAAACGTAGTGAACATAGACCTTGCATCCACTTAGTGGGGGGTCAGTGGATAGATCCCTCAGCTGAGCAAATGCATTCTGCCCGTGTCAAAGGGCCTAATACAGCTGTATTTATGGAAAAGCTGAGCAAGCTGATAGCCCTCCGGCTGTTCAGGAACTACAACTCCAGGAATGGAATACAGACATAGGTTAACCTGGGAATGTCATGACAAAATGGGGTTTCTAAAGTAAACCCTGCATCGTTTTCTGCTTCATAGATGGACAGAAAATAGTCTTCATTTTTGGTTGTCAGTGAAGTGAGGAGGAATGCTGTAAGACTCGATGTGTAGGATGTTAATAATCTGACATGGAGGTGAAAGGTGTGCTTTTTAAGAAAGCAAACATTTGAATTCCCACCATTAAAACCCTGACATGTTATCTTTTGTTTTACAGCTTGCTTTGAAAGGATCTAGTTACAATGGTCTGTTACAGCGACATAACATCCATTCAGAAAATGTTGAACATATTGTGGGAAGTTTAAGGTAAGCTGCCTTTGTCAGGTTCTTATTAATATCAATCTCCTTGTTTAGGGGCTTTAATCTCTTTTTCCATTCTGGTGGTCATGGCCACAGAGGCAGGAAGTGAAAGGAAGCCTATATTTTTATGGTTGTCACAAACTGAGTAAGAGGGTAAATCTTCCAATTGTGACACTTGTTCTGATAATAACTCTTGAGATTTCCTCTAACATCCTGATGTCTGTGGGACCATTGAGGGGAAATGACCACTGTGAACACACACACAGACACACAGACACACACACTTTTTAGCTGGACTTCTACCTCATTTGTAAACTGCCGTAGATTGTTATTTGGACAAGAGATTATATATGTGCTACGGTTTCCTGAAAGTGAAGTCAGGTGATGTATAGTAGAAATGGCTTTGTTTGCACTTCTTTTTTATCCTTTTTCATCCTTTTTCTTTTTCAAATAGTTCTCCCTAGGCTGAAACCTATCCAATGTGCCCCTTCTGTCTTCCAGGTGGCACCACCAAAAATGGAGGCCAAAGTGACACTTCCTCTGTCATTCCTAGTGTCCGGTCAGAACGGTGTGATTTTCGAATTGAAATCACATCTAATAACTGTGAATGTCAGTGTCTTAACATGTACGATTTGCTGCAGTGCGATTTCTAAAGTAGTTTTTGCATTACATTTTCTGCAGTTTTGTTGCGATTTCAGATACATAGAATATAATGGAAATTGCACTGCAAATTGCAAGAAAAACCGTTGAAAATCTTCACAAGTAGCAATAAGCCCCCGGTCACATCAAAGCTGATTTTGAAATCGCGTGACTTACAGTGAAGTTGCATGATTTCAAAGTTGGGTGACCTGCCGATTTCAGTTGTGTTTTACAAGACATCTGACACAGATGTCTATGCAAATAGCAACAAAAGTAGTGCATGTACTAGTTTATAAATTGGTGGGGCAATGACCAAGTCAGAGGTGCACTGATATGACCGCTCTAATAGCGGACAATAAGGTGCGACTTGGCATATGATTTGCAAGTTGCCTGGCATGCAAATCGCATGCCATGTCGCACCCGATGTGACCGGGGGCTAAAGTCTTCAGAAATCACACCTCAAATTGTCCTGAAATTGCACACAAGTGGTGTGATCGGTGACTTGGGGCCCATTTGGACGCATGTGGTCTGAAGCAGTGTGCTAATGCACCTCATTGGACCAGTTAATCTACTCTTCTGACACCATACCTGTGCATATTGTTATATTAATGGTTCTGTGAGGAGTTGTTGGCTGTAGCTTCATCATGGCAGCAGTCTTTCTGGCCAGCAACATTAGGGGGGGGGGGGGGGGCTTCTTGCTGTGAGATACCAGGCTGTAAATCACAATGCCTGTGTCAGCCAGGGTAGGGAGGTAGTGTGAGCTGATGGGGCAAGAAAATAGGTCACATCCCATTGCAACTTATACTCCCCTACTGCAGGGACTTCTGGATGTGCTTCCTGCTGGGTAAGGCTGGTGCAAGTCTGCATTTAAATGTCAGCGCTACCGCGCATGCATAGCTGTGTCTTTGGGACAAACCAGAATGGTGCAGATACCTGGTGCATGCATTATACTACCCATAGAGTGGACCCAGTATTGAGTGATATTTACAACCTGCAGTTTTCATCAAGCTGGAACTAAGGGGGTGCCCAAAACTCTATTTTACTCTGCATTCTTCTTTTATGCGTATAGCATGTTGTGTCTCTCATGTGTGCTTATATTTAATTGTTGTAGAATTCACCATAGTGTTGGATGTGGCTTTCACATTTTACATTCACTTTCTTCTATATTTTAATTGTATTAAATGAAATATAACTTTTTAGATTATTCAGTCATTAGGGGGAGGAGTGCTGTAGTCCAGAACAACCACTCATATCAATCACATACAGAACTAATATGGGCTGAGTTAAAAAATCAGCAGTAAGCAGCACAGTGATCGCGTGAGTGCGTTTTTTTTTTTTTTTTTTTCTTCTATACAATATCCAATCATGTAATAGCAATTCACTGTCCATAAGATGCACAGAGTGCTATTAAAAGAATAAAGATTGTTTAAAAAAAAAAAAGGGGGGGGGGCAGTCATCCAACCTGTCGGTCACATAATCAGCTTTTCTCCAATCATGGTGTTCTCTCTTTTGCATTAAACAGAGAGAGCTTCTTAGTTAATCTGGTAGGAAAAAAAAAGCAAAAGTCCATCCATTTCAACCAACAGAGAAAAAGACAACACACAAATAGAAAAACTTCATATACACTATCTTATACCCATAGTTGATCCAAAGGAAGGCAAAACAATCCCAATAAAGCATGATCCAATTTGCTCCTGCAGGGGAAAAAAAAAATCCTTCCTGATGCCCCAAGAGGCAATTAAATATTCCCTGGATCACTTTACCTATAAATGTTGGTATCCAGTTATATTTTGGGTATCTAGGAAATAATCTACAGAGCTGGCCAGAATCAACTCTTGAGGGAGCCTATTCCACATTTTCACAGCTCTTACTGTGAAGAAGCCTTTCCGTATTTGAAGATTACATCTTTTTTCCTCCAGACATAAGCTGAACAGATGGCGTTATTTGCTTTTCCATTATAAATGGACACTATAATGTAGACTTGCATTGCAAGGACGAGCAGTAAAGCAAAGTCATTGTACAAAGAAAGATGCAGAACTTTCTTGTTTTAATAAGTAAATATGGCTGTTCCTATGCACCGATATAACTACAAATACACACAAACAAGGTTTGTAAATTGTCAAAACATGTTGAAAAGATTTATATCGTTCTGGGAAAAAAATAATTCACATTGCCTTTTAAGCAACCAATATACCCATTTGAAAGTGCCTATGCAAGTGTGTGTGTAATAAATATATAATATTTTAAGTTTAATTATATAATTTTTATTAAGTGTGTGTGTGTGTGTGTGTGTGTGTGTGTGTGTGTGTATATGTATGTATTTTTTTTTCTTTTTAAGAATATAATAAGGTAGTAATGTGGAACATTGATAGAACCGTCTCGCTTTTAGCCTCGAGACAGTTCACTTTCAGGTTTAACAGGTTTACTATGGTATGTTATGCCCCGTACACACAATGAGAATATCAAGTGAATGGTCATCTTCTTCTTTTTTTTTTTTTTTTTTTTCCCCTGCAATTGAAAATGGAGAGGTTAACAAAATTCTCATACGACAGACTCATAAGACATACAACTTTAGAAGTGATGTAATGTATTCTTTCGCTTCTGAGCATGTGTGGTCTTTAGTGTGTCTATTTTTTTTTCCCTGACTAATACTGTACTACTAAAATAAAAAAACTAAACGAAAGATTAAACTAAAATAATTTGCTCTGTTATCGTACGAAAATATTTTTTTGTGCTTGTCCCTTTGGATATTGTTTCATGTCGTGATTTGCTGTCGAAAGTGGTGTACTAACGATCAGTTTATTGCACGATAATCTAAGCTAGGATTTAGCCCCTGGGTGGTTCAGTGGATATGCAGCTGGCTAAAGGATAGATACCAGAGTGTGGTTGTAAATGGAGTTCACTTGGAAAAGAGACCAGTCACTAGTGGTGTACCACAAGGCTCTGTACTAGGTCCTGTTCTATTTAATCATTATGTAAGTGATATAACTAAAGTTATATAACTAAAAAGTGGAAATTACAGTTCAATGTTTCTAAATGTGAAATAATGCTACTAGGGGAAAATAATCCCTTGAGAGAGTACAGCATTGGGGGTACAGCGTTGGCCAGCACTTCAAAGGAAAAGGACTTGGAGGTACCTATTTCAGATGATTGCAAATGGAGCAAACAGTGTGGCCAGGCAGTGGGGAAAGTGAATAGAATTCTAGGATGGATCACTAGAGGGGTCACCAGCAGGAGGAAGGGGTCCTGATTCCTCTATATAGATCTTTAGTTGGACCTAGAGGGGTCACCAGCAGGAGGGAGGTCCTGAGACCTCTATATAGATCTTTAGTTGGACCTCATTTAGAATACTGTGTCCAGTTTTGGAGACCTCACTTACAAAAGATACTGATGAGGCAACAAAAATGGTGACACGTCTGGGGGATAAAACATCAAGAGTGACTTCAGGAAGCTAACATGTATAGTCTGGAGGAAAGAAGGGAAAAGGGAGACATGACTGAAAACTTTAAATACATGAAGGGGGTGAATAAGGTTCAGGAGGTCAGTATTTTTAACACAAAACCAAAATCAAGAACATAGGGATATGACCTCAAACTAAGTGATGGAAAATACAAAACTAATCTCAAAGTACTATTTTACTGAAAGTGTAGTTGATGCTTGGAATAAAATTCCAGCAGAGGTAGTGAGCCAGTCAATAGTAAATAGTTTCAAAATGCTTGGGACAAGCATAGATCTATACTCGGACAAAAAAGTTAACAAAAAGAAAAACAAAAAAAAAAAAAAAAATTCCAAATAAATAAATAAAACAAAAAACGGACAGACTTGATGGACCACTCTGTCTTTTTCTGCCATCACTTTACTATGTTTCTATGATCCCTCTGAAAGCGATTTTTGTCATCCGTTTTTCTGATCATGTGTACCAAGCATTAGAGCTGTGGTTCCTTATCGTTCCCGTATGTCCCTCTTTTGTAATACTTTCTAGGCTTTTTATATAGTTTGGTAACAGAAGATCTCCACTCTTATCTGGTTGATGTTATCCTTGTCCTTAAGAAGTGTTAAGCTGGCTATATGCTAATTTCTATCTGTAAATGTAGTTTTTTGTTCAGGAAGGTTCATTCATCCTGAAATCAAGTAAACACAATTTTGAATTATTTTTGAACATCATTCAAGTCATCAAATGTACTGAGAATTTTTGTATGGGTGTTTAAAAATCTAGCGCATGGCCAGCTTTAGTATCTCCAGCCTGGCCTTGTGGCAAAAAATTCTAATACATAATCTTTTAAAGTAAACGTGAAAAAGGATTCAAATAATAAATATTGCCTCATGAGTGACAAGTGGCCAATACACACATCCCTACGTTATATTTATGATTGCTCTGGGAGTCCCTTTACCAGGCCACTTATGGGTCTATTTGTCAATGGCTGTGCATATGAGACTCATGCCTTCACCCAGGATTCATTGGTGCAACACCTCTTTTAATACAAACCTCCATTGGTTACACAGAGTCAGTGATTTTGAAGGATTGGTGAGTTGCTGGGGAGACTGGGCATACGAGATGTGCCAAAAGTCATCTTAAGTGCCTGGGGCCATACAGTGGCCTCCTTCCCCATTATGACTGCTCTGCCCAGCAAAATTATGAGTTGGTCTCTGGAGCTGCAGCAGTGGCTCCTACATAAATGCAGTCTGAAAAGCGTGTTTGCAGGTTTTTTGATAAATGAGTTTTAACAATGATATTGTTGCATTTATATTCGTTTTAGATGGACAGAACTGAAAAAGTGTTCCAATATAATGCATTACCCTCAATTAACCCTTACAAGCCCTATTTAACCACTTCCCCACTGCCCTATAGCAGAAATATTGCTACAGGGTGGCAGGGCTGCACAAAATCACGTGTATATAAACGTGATTTTGCATTTCCATGTAGGGGGCACGCACACTGCGCGGCTACAAATGTCGATCACCGGGTCCCAGCCAGAGATTCCCGCTGGCACCCGGCGATTGCCGAGACACAGTGACAGGAGATCCAGTGTGCACTAGTTCTAAATCCGGTTTTGATTTTGTTTGTTTTTGCATTTAAATAAAATTGCATAAAACAAAAGAAATGAATTTCCCATTTTTTGAACCAGAAATGGAGTTTGTAGTTTGAGTTGGCTAGTTTGGTGGTATGCCATTCTTACTGTCATGATATTGCTGCTTTTTATGGTTCAAACACAAGAGAACCCAAGGTACACTTTATCCCTCCCCTTCTAATGGTCAGTAGAGCCAGAGTCAGGAACACCTTGGGTGCTTGATGTTGGGTAAGTGAATGAATGAGCAGGATTTCCTATAAAACAAATACAGGAGGTTGCTAAAAGTTGTTTTTTTTTTTTTGGTTTTTATTTTGCTTCCACATTGTTTTCAGATGCTTCAACTTTATAAAAATTGAACTAAAGTCAGACTTTATTCCAGATCTACAAGTCTGGTTTTTTTTTTTTTTTTTTTTTTTTGAACACTTGTTAACTGGAATTCCAGTCAAAACCTAACCCACTTCACTTCAGCCCCATTCTAAGACTAATCTATCTAACCCTGTAAAGAAAAGATCGCTATACTTGCCTATCCTGAAGCTGCTAAGGTCCGGTCTCCAATGGAGGCTTCTGTGTAGAGAGAGAAAGCGGACAACGGCTAGGAAATGTAGAGATGACATCACCCATAGACTTACTATGGGGCATCCATTGTTGACTACATCTGGTCTACACAGCTCATCCTGGGACTGGACCAGGGCAGCTTCACAATAGATAGGTATAGTGATCTCTTCTTTACAAGGTTAGACTTAGAATAGGGCGGGGAGTAGGTTTAGTTTTAGGTATTCACTTTGGCTGGATGTCCAATGCCAGAAAGGCTTTGGATCAGCATGACAGCTGGTGAAAATGATAGCTTTCTTGTTGACGCTCTGTATGAGAGAAAAAAAAACTAGTCTTCTATGGCCAGCTTTGGTTTTGGATATACTGGGAATACTTAGGCCCTCTGTTAAGGTTTTTTGCTTTCCGTGTCCCTGCTGGGCAGATTCACTCTCTATTTTTTTTTTTCTCTGCAACCATTATCAATGAGAAAGGGAGGGGGAATCCAAAATGTAAAGTTGTCCCCAGAACAAGTGGTGAGGGAAATCTTCCAATGGGGACATCTGATCCAGGGATAACTGTCTGAGGTAATTCTTCTCACTGAGAGTTTTCTTCTAACTTCCTGTTGTGTCTATGGCACAGGAAGTGAATGGAAATTTCCCATATGGTACACAAGCAGCAAAATTTAAACTGCCATTGGTTATAATCCTGTTATACTCTATCCAAATAAAAAATAAATTTAGTGGATATAAAATACTTGAAATTTCTTCATACCCCTTGAAATTTTCCACATTTTGTCATGTTACAACCAAAAGAGTAAACCTATTTTATTGTGATTCTGTGTGATAGACCAACACAAAGTGGCACATAATTGTGAAGTGGAAGGAAAATGATAAATGGTTTTAAATTTTTTTACAAATATCTGAAAAGTGTGTGCGCTTTTGTATTCAGCTTTCTTTACACTGATACCCCTAACTAAAATCTAGTGGGACTAAATGCTTTCAGAAGTCACCTAATTAGTAGATAGAGTCCACCTGGGTGTAATTTAATCTCATTATAAATACAGCTGTTCTGTGAAGCCCTCAGAGGTTAGTTAGAGAACATTAATAAACAAACAGCATCATGAAGGCCAAGGAACACACCATACAGGTCAGGGATTAAGTTGTGGAGAAGGTTAAAGCAGGGCTAGGTTATAAAAAAAAAAATCCCAAGCTTTGAACATCTCACAGAGCACTGTTCAATCCATCATCTGAAAATGGAAAGAGTATGGCACAACTGCAAACCTACCAAGACATGGCCGTCCACCTAAACTGACAGGCCGGGCAAGGAGAGCATTAATCAGAGAAGCGGCCAAGAGGCCCATGGTAACTGGAGGGGCTGCAGAGATCCACAGCTCAGGTGGGAAAATCTGTCCACAGGACAGCTATTAGTCGAGCGCTACACAAAAATCTGGCCGTTATGGAAGAGTGGTGAGAAGAAAGCCATAAGAAATCCCGTTTGCAGTTTGCGAGAAGCCATGTGGGTGCACAGCAAACATGTGGAAGAAGGTGCTCTGGTCAGATGAGACCAAAATTTAACTTTTTGGCCTAAAAGCAAAATGCTATGTGTGGTATAAAACTAACACTGCACCTCACCCTGAACACACCATCCCCACCGTGAAACATGGTGGTGGCAGCATCATGTTGTGGGGATGCTTTTGTTTAGCAGGGACAGGGAAGCTGGTCAGAGTTGATGGGAAGATGGATGGAGCCAAATACAGAGCAATCTGAGAAGAAAACTTGTTAGAGTCTGCAAAAGCCTTGAGACTGGGGCGGAGGTTCACCTTCCAGCAGGACAACGACCCGAAACATCCAGCCAGAGCTACAATGGAATGGTTTAGATCAAAGCATATTCATGTGTTAGAATGACCCAGTCAAAGTCCAGACCTAAATCCAATCAAGAATCTGTGGCAAGACTTGAAAATTGCTGTTCACAGATGCTCTCTATCCAATCTGACAGAGCTTGAGATATTTTGCAAAGAAGAATGGGCAGAAATCTCCCTCTCTAGATGTGCAATGCTGGTAGAGACATCCCCAAAAGGACTTGCAGCTGGAATTGCAGCCAAAGGGGGTCCTACAAAGTATTGATTCTGGGGGGCTGAATACAAATGCACGCCACACTTTTCACATTTATTTGTAAAAAAAAATGTAAAAACCATTTCTCATTTTCCTTCCACTTCACAATTATGTGCCACTTTGTGTTGGTCTATCACATGAAATCCCAATACAATTACATTAACGTTACATGACAAAATGAAAATTTCAAGGGGGTATGAATACTTTTTCAAGGCTGTGTGTCTGTCTGTATCTATCTATCTATTCATTAAATCAGGGATCATGCTTGCACCCTTGAATGCCTTGTGAGGTCTGTGGCCACTTTTACTTTACATAATATGTAGTATTTGCTGATGTTTATGTGTGCCGCCTTTCTCCTCCAGGAAAGAAGGAATTGAAGTGCAAGTAGTAAAAAGAAGAGATTATGATGAAGCTACAGTGCGATGGGCAGATGCCATCATCTCGGCTGGAGGTAATTCTTACTAATACTTTGGGTGATTTCTTGATTACACTGCCAGTCTTGTTGAATTTGTAAGGTGAAAAGTGGTAGAGATTTCCTCACAATGGACAGGAACTCACAGAAGCATCTGAAAATTGCAGCATTGCCAAATTCTTCATAGTTTTCACGGGGCTTGAAATTATTTAGCATTTTTTACTAGAAATATCCGGGCCGGGCTCTGCCTAGCATACATGTGCAGTGGCCCCATTTATTCCAATGGATGGTCCATACTCCCCTGGATGGCTGGGGGCCGCTGTGAGTAAGATCATCTAAAGGAATGAATGGGGCCACAGCATGCATGTACACTAGACACAGAAGCTGGCATGGGTGATTTTCTTGCAAAGACCATGTGGTGTGTTTTTTTTTTTTTTTTTTTTTTTTTTTATGTCCCTTTTCTCATTTTAAAAAGGGCTACACATTTCTCCTGTTGTGTATGGCGGGGACACTGTTATTGGATTGTCTTTGTGCAGAATAAGCTGTGAAACTTAAATTTATATGGTTCAGTTACAAAACCCGACATTACTTGCACACTGACCTGTTATTTCATCTTTTCTGGGAATCTTGGACATTACGTTACATTCCATTGCATTGCCTCTTGTGCCCACCCCTCCTGAGTTGCAACAGTCAGTTGTTGTCCCTGAACTTGTCCTGCGTTGCCTCCTGGATTGGCACATTTCAGCCTTTCACTTCATAAAGCAACATGCACACCCATGGCTATTAGTCAGAATGATTCATATCTGACAACACTGCACTGATGAAGGCTGAAATATCTGGTTTGTTTTCCTAAACTTCCAGTACTGCTCTTTGCATTTGTGTTAAGGATCTTTATTACAGTACTGCCTTTTATTATCCACACTGATAGGAGGAATTAAAGAGCCTCTGGTTATGTTGGCTGTTAAAGGATTTCTGAACTGAGAGAATTATGATGGCTGCTATTGCTGACCATCTTCAAATCCTAAATGACTTGCTCCCATGGAATGGAAAAGACATTGAATTGGCCATCATCATAGATGACAGCCAGGCAGGCTGCAGTTTATAGTGAACAGCAATGGTAGACCACGTATTTCAGAATGAAGTTCTGGGGAAGCACTCAACTGTGTTGGGCTGGAAAAACAAAATACCCTGGATGGCTGTTAACATAAATGGGGTTGGAGGGAATCACACATCATGTTTGTGTTAGCTTGGATAGTCCACTAAATCTGACATTGGGCATTTAGTCAGAGAAGCAACCCAGACACTGGTTATTCTAAAGGAGCTGCTGCTGGAATGGGACAAACTGCCCATGAAACAACTAAAACCTGGAAGCTCCACAAAGCTGAGAATTATGTAGAGATTAGAGGAAAGACCTTTCTGGGGGGGAAAAAAATGTGATTTGGAGTTTGTCAAAAGGCTTTTTGGGGGACACGTCCAATTATAAAAGTTCCTAGGTCTGTTGAACCAAAATTAACTTCTTGATCTTGGTGCAAAATGCTTCCCATCACCCCGAGAACACTGTTCCCACTGTGAAGCATGATGTTGGCAGCATGTTGCGGGAAACGTTTTCAATCAGCAGAAACTAAACAATTGGCTAAGGAGAATGGAGCATACATACAGGATGAGTCTGTCTTGTCTCAGTAAAAGACTTGAGTGGTTTTAAACAGAACCTGATCGCCATAAAATGGCCAGTGAAAATGCACACATTATTTCCATGGGCTGTCTTTAGCAAGACTCAAAATATGATGTTCCCAGCTGTCAGCATCAGACTGCCAGAAACGTGGCAATAATTGCAGGATCCATCTGTGGAAAAGTGGAAGTCTCTTGGCTATAATTGCAACTTGGGTCTGCCGTGTTTTTACTCAAGTGGGTAATTGTGTGCAGTCAACAGGTCTTTTTTGTTTAATTTATATCTTTCAATAATAAAAAAAAAAACAAAGTTTGAACCTTTTAAATTACAAACGGATACTTTTAGTTATGGCTCTGGCAGCAAATAGGCAGGATAAAGTGTGAGCTAATTATTTTCCTTTACACTCTTCCATAAAGCCCTGCCAAACCAGATATTCAAAAACCAACTTAATCCACTGTTTGCATAAGCGTGTGCTGGGTACACTGCCCACCCCATGTGATAATGCCCAATACTGGTTTTACCCCACGTGGGTGTTTATGATTTGTAATGTGGGTGCGGCGGTATGCCGAGTATCATCTATGTCAGGGGTATGGAATTAAAATTCAGAGGTCTGGTCAGTAAAATTTTTATTCAGCAGAGGTCCGAGTCTCATATTGTGCCAGATCTTTCATATGACAGCCCCTCCCCATCCATACAGTACAGACCCCCTCCCCTTATATCGCAGCCTTTTTCACATCACAGTCTTTTTCACATCACAGTCTCCCCTTTACACCATGGCACTCACTTTTTACATTGCAGAACCTCCCCCCCGTGTCCCACTTTATATCATAGCACTCCACTTTACAATATAGCCCCTTGTTACATTACATCACCCCCTGCACATCATAGCACCACTTTGAATTACAGTGCCCTTTACAACACTGCGCACTCTTTACATCACAGCACTCCCGTTTACAATATAGCCCACCATTTTCATCACAGGCCCCCCTCCCCCCTCCATACATGACGGTGCCCCGTTACAACACAGGCTCTCTTTTCGTCGTCATTGTCTCCTTTCCTTCAGTGTCCCCAGTCCCCCTTCACATCACAGCCCCCTGCTTACATCACAGACCTCCCCCTTTACATCAGTCCCCTTCACAGCCTCCCCTTTCTTGTATACCAGTCTCCTTCACAGTGCCGCACCCCAGTCCCCCTCACAGTCCCCCTTTCTTGTATCCAAGTCTCCTTCACAGCTCCCCCATCCCTACACCCCAGTTCCCTTCACAGCCCCCCCTCCCCTTTCTTGTATACCAGTCCCTTCACAAACTCCCTTTTCTTCTTTCCAAGTTCCTTTGAAAGCCCTCTAACTTACATTCCACTTTACATCAAAGCCCTCTAACTTGCGTCCCATTTTCCCCCTTCCAATCACAGTCTCTCTATAACCCTTCTAATCCTACCTTGCACAGCGGTCGGTGAGCGGGTGGCGCGGCTTGTCTGGATATGGTGAGACTTCCCAGCTTTTCCTGTTGGCGGGCAGATGATTGCTGGGACCGCCCCATGTCCTGGCAGTAAGTCTGCAGGTTTTGACTTGGGGCGGTCCCATTCTCTAGGCGTGCGCACCTTCTGCCTACCAGGGATGAAGGCTGAGGCGGCAAGGGGAAGGAGGTTTTAGACTGGGAGAGGACACTCAGGCTGCTTGGTGGCGGAGCCGCGATCTGGATAGGACTGTCATTCAGTCCGGGTTTGGACCGTGGTCCCCAATTTAGTGACGCCTTTCTATGTGAGAGGCAGATGCAGCATGGTAGCTATGGTCGGAGAAAAGGGGTTTCCAACCGGTTATGCTATCTATTTTGTAAAGTTACTTTTGCTGATAATAGACGAATATAAAGTAGTGTTTCATCAATGTGCCCAGGCGGTATGCACAATGTCAAATTCAACCAACAACTCAGTACTGCTGTGCTCTTTAATATAAAAAAAGAAATAAAATCTCTTAAAGGTTCTGCAGCACAGACATGACATGTACGATGAAAATGTATAAAATGTGCAGCGCTCAAATAAATTACAATAAAAAGATAATCTTAAAAAGCATCATGAATAATAAATAGTAACGTTCATAAGGTGACTAAAGTGCTCCTGGGAATCCTGCGTTCTCTTAATTCGGTGCTTTTGCGATCTTGTATGGAAGAAATGCGCACTTGAATTTGACAATTGGAATTAACTTTCAGACAACCTGGTATCCAGTTTCCAGAGAGGGAGCTTCCACCCATCCATCCCTTAAAGGGGACTCTGGCATTCCTTTGATCTACACCTAAAGCCCCAGGATCCATATATTCTGACAAGGAGTCATCCCCATCCCTGCCTCATTTCAGATGACCTTAAAGGCATCAGGATATATTATATAAAGGTGCATTTTACTATGCGTTCCGGTGAGTGCGCATTTCTTCCATACAAGATCGCACAAGCACTGAATTATAAGAGAACACAGGATTCCTAGGAGCACTTTAGTCACCTTATCAACTTTACTATTTATTATTCATGATGCTTTTTAAGATTATATTCACATTTCTCTTTTTATTGTAATTTATTTGAGCGCTGCACGTTTTGATCTTTTGATACATTTTGATCTTTTGAGGTTTATTTTGGTTACCTTGGTGCATAGCGGCTGATTGCTTCTATGTGCGCTCGCATTCACTTATAACTCATGACATGTACAATGCAACAGCCCTTTGACAAGTTGAACAGATGTATGCGGCCCTTTGTTGTATGTGGTCGGTGCGCACTCTTACTACTACTTGGGCTCATCACATAACACTTGCAGGACAGCTTACTGATGGCAGCTGGACCTTAATCTAGGGATTTGTCCTGTTCGTGCATTAATTCAGTATTTATTGTATCGGTTTCTTCTAGGTGATGGGACAATGCTTCTCGCTGCTAGCAAGGTGCTGGACAGGTTTAAACCTGTCATCGGAGTAAATACTGATCCAGAGAGGTAACCATTGTCTGTATTTATCCTAAACCTGACCTTTAGAACGCCTGTATTTTGGATGGTGTTATATTCACTTTTGTTTATAGAAAATCATTGTGTTGGCTTTTAGCTCAAGCATTGCACATTTTAGAACCTTCATACCACAGACTGCTTTTGACCTGTTTACAGTTTAACATAATTTGTGTCAGAAAAAAATAATGGACGTTCTTCAGTTCAATGTATCCTCCTAACCCATAACTTAAATCCAGCTGCAAATCATATGGGCGGCACAGTGGCTTAGTGGTTAGCACATCTGCCTTGCAGTAAATGGGTCATGGATTTGATTCCCGACCATGGCACCTCCTGCATGGAGTTTGCATGTTCTCCCTGTGCTTGCATGGGTTTCCTCCGGGTGCTCCGGTTTCCTCCCACTTTCCAAACACATGCTGGTAGGTTAATTGGATCCTGTCTAAATTGGCCCTAATATGTGTATGTATGAATGTGAGTTAGGGACCTTAGATTGTACACCCCTTGAGGGGTTAGGGACTGATGTGAATGTACAATATATATGTGTAAAGCGTTGCGTAAATTGACGGTGCTATATAAGTACCTGAAATAAATAAATTAAAATTACTGTTCTGGACATTAATACTGAAAATGTTACAGATAGGCAGCTTCTATCCTCATATTGATTATTGGTTCCAAATGAGTAACTAGTGTAGTAGGGAACAGACACACAAAGATACACTCAGCATCTTGCCAAATCGCTGTGCTGTTTATTAGGCGCATTTGAAGTTTTTTTATTATTATTATACAGGATCTATATAGCGCCAACAGTGTGCTCAGCGCTTTACAATATAACGGGAGACAATACAGCAACAATACAGTTCAATACAAGAGGGTTAGGAGGGCCTGATCCTTGGAGCTTACAATCTAGGAGATGATTATTAGGTATCGCATTAATATTACAATTTCACTTTAAGGCTCCATGCACATGGGGCATTTTAATAAAGCTGGTACCTTTGAGCTGTGTAAAGTCTCGTTAAAAACAATAATTTTGCAGTTTGTGTATTCGTGTTTAGTGGCGTTTTTTGTATTTGTGTTTTTTTAGAGGGTTTTTTTTACCAAAAAAAAAATTTTTTTTTTTTTTTTAAGTCGAAAGTCCAAAAATGCTTTTTTTTGCTGCGATTCACCGTGTTTTACCACGTTTTGCCATGTTTTTCAGCATTAGAGCGTTTTTACAGCTACAAAAACTTCTCTAGAAACCCAATAGTCCTGGGTTTTTATCCAGCTAAGAAATGTCCCTGCCAAGAAACATTGATTCCAGTCTGTGTGTATGGACACATAGGATAACATGCTGGGGAGTTTACTGGCTGTAGAAAAAAAATGTCAAAAGCCAAAAACAGCCGCTGTAAGAAAGTCCCGTGTGCATGAGGGCTTACGGTAACAAGGGACGTTACATAGACAGGCTCATTTCTAATCTGGACTTGAAGGAATGCGATTTTACTGAATACATTTAGTGCCACGTGCACAAGGAGCAGGGGCGGACTGACCATTTGGAAACTCTGGCACTGACCGAGGGCCCGGGGTCATTAGGGGGCCCCATGAGATGCCCCTGGTACCTTTTTCATAGGCTATTTTGAGTTTGGGCAAGGACACAGGGGCCCCATGATCCCCTATTGCCCGGGGGCCCCATGCGTTGTCAGTCCGCCCCTGACAAGGAGTGCCGTGTACAATACATAGGCAAAGCATACAAAATTTAATACAATTTTATACAGAATTTATAAATTTCCTTTACAATCACCTTAATATTATTCTTACACCTAAAGTGGTGTAAATTCTTGGTGTTTAATTTTTTTTTTTTTTTTTTTTTACATTAATGCAGGAAATAAATAAAATGCGAAGAAACCCTGTGCCAAAATGGCTAAATACTCTGGCAACTCATAGTGACCAAAAACAATCAACTAAATATAATCTCTGTTGGGGGGGGGGGGGGGCACTATGATAATCACCCAATTGATATACACATTCTGTGCTAATAAGCCAACATAAGATTAATAGATTCTTGAATGTATGCATTCCATATAATAGTGACATAGTGCGAAGTCCATATAGAGTCCCAATCAATAAAACATAAACCCAATCTTGAGGAAGAAACAAATGCTTGGTGCTGATAATCCTTTACCATACAGTGTCCATATTTTCACCCAGTGGAACCTGCAATACTAAATCACTCACCAGGCCAATCTGACCTCTTTTATTAAAAACCAAAAAGGTCTCATGCACTTGTTTTGCCCATTTGAAGGTATGGAAATTTTCTGATGTGACACTTCAACCATTTGTTCTTATTTGCTCCATCATCCATACAGGAACCAGAGGATAAAAATGATACAGTGTAGTATGCCTACTCCTATATGATACAAAAGTAAAATCTGTTCACATGTAGATGTGTCTCCCCATCGGCATAGATGTTACTGCGTGATAGTGTATTTGTTGGCGCCACCACTCTGCACAGACCTAGAGTCGGCGTGTGTTCCAGCAACCGGAAGTGACGTGACCAGAAATGAACGACCAGATGTTCCACCTCGAACAGACATTTGTCTTAGAAGTCGTTCAGCAGGTCTGTGAAGCCTGTCAGAAAAAGGTCTCTCTCCTCTTGCTGGTCTCACAGGCTACCCTGAGAGCAGTGGGAGCCTTTGTCTCCTGCTGCTGTTAGTCAAATCCTTTGTGTGTCTATGGGAGCACACAGCTTAGCTCAGGAGTGTGCCTGCATGGAGTGCCCCCATAGCACATGGCTTACTTTGGGGGCACTTGTAAGAATGGGAGAGCACTGATGGGGGACTGACAAGGAAGAGATATGGGTACAGCTCTGTGCAATACTGCACATATATAAATACACTTTTTTTTTTTTTTTTAATGGAAAAATAAAGTTGCCTTTTAGAATCACTTGACTCATGGCTTCTAGCTAATCTAGTGTTACTACTTCCTTCTCTGGCAGCAGGCTGTGGGCAAGAAGGTGACACCACTGTATTGCTTTCCTTTTTAAACAGAGAAGGTGTAGCCACCCTGTGCCTTCTTGCAATGGGATGGGAATTGCAAAAATAGTGGGACTGCATGACAAATCCTTTGGCAGATGGGACAGTTTACATGTGCACATTTAAGCGATGTATTTAGCGATTTGTCCGGAATTTACTTTTGACGCGTGTTCTTTTGTAGAGGAAAATGCCTGAGTGAGCAAGCTGTGATGGAAGTAGCCATTCCCCAAATTTTATATATTTTTTTCCAGCTATATCGTGTAGATATTTTTGCTTCATAGGAGATTGCCTTTAAATGTCTGTGCTGCTTATTGAAAAGGAAATCTTCCCTGCAAAGAAAAGCATCATACGTACCCCTCCCTTTACCAGTCTGCAAATCTTCTATCTTCAAGAGATAGGCTTGGTGAAAAATCTTCATCATCCAACATAGTTCAGGGAATGTTGCATGGCTGCATCCCCCGCTGAGTTCTGTTCATTTTGCTGGCCCATACAACACTACTTTGGAGGAGGAACCACAGATCCCAGCAGGGGGGACACATACATCTGACATTTCTGGAAGTGTGTTAATGCTAAAGGATTTTGGCAAGCTTCTTTTGAAGATGGCAGAGTTTATTGGTATGGGTTTTCAGAGTGGTAAGTATTAATGCTTTTCTTTACAGAGAACTTTTTTCGGCGGAGCAGCTGTATCTTTAGTGATCTAACAGAATTCCCATCCATTGCTTTGTTGTAATACACGCCATGCACATTGGTGCGATTCCCAACACACACCGTATTGTAACTCCTCAATTTGTGTTGCTGTGTGCTGCATTGAAAAAAAATAGTACAGGTTCTCTTTTTGGCTTTTGCAACCCATTCAAATGAATGGCCTGCATAAGACGCATTAACGCAGCATGCTGGACCACAATGTTTTTTTTGTCGGCTCCCAATTTGAGCTTTAAATGTTCTTGTTTATGTATGTCGCTTTTCATTATATATGTGTTATCTCATCATTTATAATATTTCATATTTATTTGATGTTTAAGCTGTCCACGTCATTGTATGTGTATGATTTTTCTCCAAGGTCTGAAGGACACCTCTGTCTGCCGATGAATTACACCCATTCCTTCCCAGAAGCCCTGCACAAGCTTTATCGTGGTGAGTTCAGGTAGGATTCCTGGTGTGGCCTTTAACTGAGGTTTCCATGACCTTTAGGTACTTGAAAGGAAAACATTTCATAATGAAATCAAATCACTGAATTCTAGATTGTATCTCCACATTTCAAGGCCTTGCCTTCTCAGTGGTAGACCATTTTATTTATAAAACAAACTCCTCTGACATTATTTACATCTATACAGAGATATGGGAAATAGTATTGATATATACAATGGGTGTGTGAGATATTATACACACACACGCGCACGCACGTACACACACACACGCAGTCATGGCCAAAAATATTGGTACCCCCTGCATTTCTGTCGGATAATGCACCATTTTACCCAGAAAATTGTTGCAGTTACAAATGTTTATTTCTTTAGTTTGTATTAGTATGACACAAAAAAGTGGAGAAACAAAATGCCAAATCTGACACATTCCATCCAAAACTCCAAAAATGGACTGGACAAAATTATTGGCACCTTCTCAAAATTGTAAGAAATAATTGCATTCCAAGTTTGTGATGCTCCTGTAATTTTGTAATTAACCCCTTGCCACAACTATAGCTGAATGTCGGCTACAGCACGGTTGTCCAGTCTTGGGAGGGCGTCAGATGATGTCCTCCCAGAACGCACCCTCCCGTGCGCGCCTGGGGACGAACACCCGCGATCTCCGTGATCGCTGTGTCCTACGGACACAGCTGATCACTTGATGTGGTACAAGGCCAATCACAGCGGCCTTTTACCACGTGATCACCTGTATCAATTAACAGGTGCTGACAATATAGAAATCACTCCGGCAACCAGTTAAAATGATGAAAAACTAACTTAACCTTTCTGTTGTGTGTCTGCGTGGAGCATGGAGAAGAGAGAGCAGCAAAGAATTGTCTGAGGATTTTAGAACAAAAATTGTGGAAAAGCATGGACAATCGTAAGGTTACAAGCCCATCTCCAGAGATCTTAATGTTCCTGTGTCCACTGTGCACAACATTGTCAAGAAGTTTACAGCTCATGGCACTTTAGCTAATCTCCCTGGACATGGACGAAAGAGAAAATTGATCAAAGATTGCAACGAAGAATTGTTAGAATAGTGGATAAAGAACCTCAATCAGACAATATCAAGCTGACCTTCAGGCACAAGGTACAACTGTGTCAGCTTGTACTATATGTCGCCAACTGAGTGAAAAGGGACGCTATGGTAGGAGACCCAGGAGGACCTCACTGATGACACAGAAACATAAAGCCAGATTGGAGTTTGCCAAAACTTAGCTGAGGAATCCAAAATCCTTTTGGGAGAATGTGCTGTGGACAGAAGAAACAAAATTACAGCTTTTTGGTAAAGCCCATCATTTAGCTGTTTTCAGAAAAAGCAATGAGGCCTTGAAAGAAAAGAATACAGTCAAACATGATGGGGGGTCACTGATATTTTGGGGTTGCTTTGCTGCTTCAGGCACTGGATGTCTTGACAGTGTGCATGGCATTATGAAATCTGAAAACTACCGAAGAATTCTGGGGTGCAATGTAGGGCCCAGTGTCTCCTTCATAGGTCATGGGACTTAGAGCAGGACAATGACCCAAATCACGTCAAAGAGCCCCCAGAAATGGTTCCAGACAAAGCGCTGGAGAGGACTGAACTAGCCGGCAATGAGTCCCAGATCTCAAACCCATAGAGCACCTGTGGAGAGATCTCAAAACAGCAGTTGGGAAAGGAACCCTTCCAATCTGAGAGACCTGGAGCAGTTGGAGAAAGAAGAGCGGTCCAAAATTCCAGTAGAGAGGCGGAAGAAACTCATTGATGGTTACATGAAGGGATTGATTTCAGTTATTTTATTTCTAAGGGGTGTGCTGCCAAATATTAAATTGTGGGTGCCAATAATTTTGTCCAGTCCATTTTTGGGTGGAATGTCAGACTTTTTTTGTGTGTCATACCAATACAATCAAAAGAAATAAAGATGAGAATGCCGAAACATTTGTAATTGCAACAGTTTTCTGGGTGAAGTGGTGCATTATTTGACAGATATGCTGGAACCCCAGCCCCTCTCGTGTTCTCTGCTTTGTAATAGCATTGTGATTTATAGAGCCTACAATTTCTTAGACAATAAAAATACTTTCCTATTTAGTAAATCCTGGGGTCCAGATTATATATTTTGGCTGTGATCGGTTTACAATTTAGGGTGCTTACCAAGAAAACTAAACATCCCATGTTAGCCTGGGGTCTCTGGCTCCTGCATTCCACTAGCAAACAGTAGGGGAACCCTGTTCCTTTACTCTGCAGACCTTTTATAATACTATTTGAAGCACTCATTACGGACTTTTTTTTAATATTTAGGCCCTTGGGTGTGACCACTGATATTGCCTCAGAGCCATACATAATCACTGAATGTATTGCTGCAGAAAGCTGGCAGAAACCTCAGACATGCTACAAATCCACAGCTCCGGTCTAGACTTGCCCCTTCTGTACATGGGCAGTCTGGGTGCCGGCTAGTATAGTCCATCTTCACTCCCCATCAGAATTAGAAAAATGTATCCGCTGCACTCCACACAGATCCTCTTGTCATATTTATTAATTATACAGCAAAAGGAGCGAAGAGTGAAGTGCGGCTGAACTATTTCTTCCTAATGCAACAGGGGAGGATCAGAGGCTGCAGACACGCTGCACGCTGCAGACACGCTGCACGGTAGGGTCAGAGGCTGCAGAGCACGCAGAGGCTGCAGACACGCTGCACGGTAGGGTCAGAGGCTGCAGACACGCTGCATGGTAGGGTCAGAGGCTGCAGACACGCTGCACGGTAGGTCAGAGGCTGCAGACACGCTGCACGGTAGGGTCAGAGGCTGCAGACACGCTGCACGGTAGGGTCAGAGGCTGCAGACACGCTGCACGGTAGGGTCAGAGGCAGAGGCTGGGTCAGAGGCTGCACACGCCGCACGGGGAGGGTCAGAGGCTGCAGGCACGCCGCACGGGGAGGGTCAGAGGCTGCAGGCACGCCGCACGGGGAGGGTCAGAGGCTGCAGACGCCGCACGGGGAGGGTCACTGCAGGCACGCCGCACGGGGAGGGTCAGAGGCTGCAGGCACGCCGCAGGGGAGAGGTCAGAGGCTGCAGGCACGCCGCAGAGGTTGCAGGCAGGGGAGGGTCAGAGGCTGCAGGCACGCCACCAGGTTTAGAGCAAATGACCGCAGGACACTTATCTACCCTGTCACGAGGCAACGCAATTCAGGAGCAGTAAGACTGACTGGGAAAGACTTATTACAAGGTTACAGCCAGAGTTACATATTCCTCCTTTTGGCTGGTCTAGTAAATCTGTCTCATGATGCATTTCACTGCTTTTAGTTTCCATTGTCCTCCAATGTATATTTTTTATTTGCTACACATTGGCAAAAGTCTGAATCCAGTCTGTGCATAATATGAAAGCTAACATTGTAGATGTGTGCCCGGAGTAAACTGAAGGAAGTCTGCATCATTGGCTGAGCCGAATTCTCCATATACTTCTATGAATTCATTGACATTTGCAGGTCTCAGGCCAATGATCAGGGCAGCCAATTACAGCAATCACATGCAGAGTGGTGATGTTTACAAACCAACCTCTCCAGACTGTAAATAGCTGCGTACATTTGCTATGCAGGAGAAAGTACGGTGTTGGAAATCATAACCGGGTGTAAACAAATACTTTCGTTTTAAAAAGTGGCTATCCTGGAATGTAAATGAAGCTGCTCTTGCACAGCTCAGTGTACATTCCGTAGACTGCGGGCGGTCTGGTAGGTTTCCTGTATTGCAGAAGACACATTACACTTCTCTTCTACAATAAAGAGCCTCCTTGCTTCTAGTTTTTGAAATTGGAACTTTAGTTGCACTTTAAACTGATTTTCTAGTGAATCTGCTAATTTAGGTCTGAAGGCCTTAACCACTTCACGTCTGGACACTTTCACCCCCTTCCTGTCCAGGCCAATATTCAGCTTTCAGTGCTATCACACTTTGAATGACAATTGCGCGGTCATGCAACGCTGTACCCATATGAATTTTTTTTTGAGACAGATAAAACTTTATTTTGGTGGTATTTATTCATCACTGGGATTTTTATTTTTTTTTTTTTTGCTATATAAATGAAAATGTCCAAAAATTTTGAATAAGTGTTTCTCTTATAAAATTTTGCAAATAAATAATCTTTCTTCATAAATCTTGGCCAAAATGTATTCAGTTATCTTTTTAGTAAAAAAAAAAAAAAACCCAAATTAGTTTATAACCAAAAATTATAAGTTTTCTAAATTTTTTTTTTTTTCCTTTATTTTATTTTTTTCTATTATGTTTTTTGTTTTTGTTTTTTTTCTTACATTCTGTCACCCTAGCAGTACAGTGTCACCATAGTGACACTGTACTACTTGGGGGTTATGAAGATTTTTTTTTTTTTTTTTTTTTTTATTCTTACACTGATTGCTTTTACACCCATAAAGGCTGTAAAAGCAGTCATTTCTCCTTCTCTCTGGCTGCATTCTTGCAGCCATTAAGAAATACTGTGTGAGCTGTGATTGGTCACAGCTTGTCACATGGTACACGGCTGTTGTGAATAGCCTTATACCATGTGACCTCTGTGATCATTTACAGATTTCAAACGTAGTAAGCAATTATGTCAGAAGTAACATCTTGCTTACTACTTTTCATGTGATCACTGATTGGCCAATCGGTGATCACATGATCGGGACCTCACACAGAGATCCCATACAACGATCAGTGTTCCACTGTGTCCGGAGGACACAGCAGGCATTGGTTCGCGGTGCTGCGCGCTCCCAGGGAGTGCGCATAAGCAGGGGGCAGGGAGGCTGATTATAAATGGCCACCCGCCCCAACACTCCTCCTGTCTGGTCGTTTATATACATGGGCTGGACGGGAAGTGGTTAATGACCCTTGGTCAGGAGAGAGTTACGTATGCTTTTAGGTAATGATCACTTCAGTATTTGGTGTGGAATTCTGCTTTAAAAATCTTCTGTGTATTTTATTTTGACTGTTAGTCTTGGTGAACGTTTGGCATATTTAATATTTGCTTACTAGCTGAAGGGCCACGTGGTGGGATGTCAGATACATCATGCTTTTTCATACCACATGATTTGTATAAAAGTTCCTTACCTTTGCAACATTTCATATTGGAATTGGTAGTGAAAGGCTTGCTTGTTGAATTCAATTTATTCTGGTCAAGATCACCACAAAGATTACGTTTTCCCCCCTCCCTAGGTGGCAATGGCGACAGCGAATCAGACTGTACCTGGAAGGCACTGGGATAAACTTCACCCCCGTAGATTTGCATGAACAGCAACTAAGCCTGGAACAGCATAGCAAGGCCCACAATACTGGAGCTCATCAAGAGCAAAGTAAGGTGAAGATCCAACACTTTATAGCAATGCTCTATTTTATATTCTTGGTATATTATATTTACTTAAAGCGGAACTCCAAGAAAATCAAATACTGTCTAAACACAAGATGCATGTGTATACTTACTAGAATGTTGGTGTGATTTGTTTATTGCTTCCAGATCTGTGCAGTAATCCAGTGTGAGACTATCCCTCTGTGCAGGAGCTTCCTGAAATAAAGACCGGTCACTGCTGCTCTCTCTCCTTGTGCAGGGTGACTGGTCTTGTCTCCGCCCCCTCCTGTAGGTTTCTGCAGGCAGCCTGGATTGGATGGGATTTAGTCCCTCCCACAGCAGTGCACAGAGTATGTGTAGCATAGGCCCATGTCACTGATACTTTTATAAAGTAATCATTTTGCAAAGGCATTTGCGGCACACAAAGTGGATATATTTTCATTGTTGCTACTGAATATACTTTAAAGCTGAACTCCAGGCAGAAAGTTTGTATATAAGATTGTTAAACAAAAGGAGAAGGTAGTAAACATAACAGCCAGTCGGATGTGTGAACTGTTTATTTTTTTATTTGTTTATTTTGTTTGCAAATTTTTCAAATTTTACAATACAAAACAACATTGCCCAAATGGCAGCAAAGAAGGAAGCCAAAAGCACAGGGATAGAAGGTACATGAACATTATGCATTCCAAATTGTCACAATACTCATTAACCACTTGCATTCCTCAGGATTCCCCCCCCCCCCCCCTTCCTGAACAGGCCATTTTTTTGCAATACGGCGCTGTGTTACTTCAACTGACAATTACGCGGTCATGCAACACTGCATCCAATTTAAATTTGTCCTTTTTTCTCAAAAATAGAGCTTTCTTTCGGTGGTATGTAATTGCCTGTGCGGTTTTTATTCTTTGCGCTATAAACAAACACTGACAATTTTGAGAAAAAAAAAAACTATATTTTTGACTTTTTGCTATTAAACATGTCAAGTAAAAAAATCAAAAGGCCAAAATGTATTCTGCAACGTGTCTTTTGCTAAAAAAAAAAAAAAAAAAAAAAAATCCAAATACGTGTAAATTTATTGGTCTACGTAAAGGTTATAGCGTTTCCAAATGGCAGTATTGGTACTGGAATTTTTTTTTTTTACTAGTAACTGCGGCGATCAGCAACTTATACGGGACTGCGGCAGGCATTATGACACTGGGGGGAACTGACTTGGTGTCCCTGACATCCCCAGTGACACCAATACAGTGATCAGTGCTAATAAAAAGCACTGACACTGTACTAATGACACTGGGCAGGAAGGGGTTAACATCTGAGGTGATCAAAGGGTTAACTGTGTGCTGTTTCATAGTTTGTTGTGTGTTTTTTCCACTTTAAGCACAGTGCTTTGTATGGCTCTGCTATGCAGAGCCATCCAAAGCAGTGTGCAGGAGCTGACGGGAGAGGTCTGTGTTGTTTACACACAGGTCTCTCTCCCTTCGGTAATTCTCAGAGATCGCCGGCGGGGAATCGCTGTCTGGGACATGGTGATTGACAACCGAGGCTGCGAATGGCACCCTACCCGGAACCGCAAAATCACATATATGTGATTTTGCGTACCCGTGCTGCCCTGTAGCAGTATTTCTGCTATAGGGTGGTGTGGAAGCGGTTAAGGTATCACAGTCATTATACAAGTATGGACAGAAGGCCCCTGTATTAGGGACTCCAAGAACAGTCATATTAAGTCAGCGAGCACACAGTCATGGAATTCCAAACCACCAAGACCTGACGAAGCAACAGCACGTCTTTTATTCGGTTAAAGTTGATGCTGGAATATGTCGACTCAATGGAAGATAACCATGGAGACCAGTTTTTTTTTTTTTTTTTTTTTTTTTTTTTTTTAACTTTTTATGGCATCCCCTATGTTCATAGGTAAACTCTTCCCTCCTCAGGCTAGCATTGACGGCATCTCTCCATCCATTGACAGTGTCGGAGGAGTAGATGAGAGCGATCTCATCTAAAATTAATTTTCAGGCAAGAACTAAGGCCCTTGTCCACAAATGAACAGTTTAAATATTTGTCCTCCTGTACAGCCCGTCTGGTGATCCAGCAGACCTGCCAGACAGCATAACCAGCCAACTACACAACTATTTTCAGTTGCGGCTGTGTTACCGTTCTGCTCTTTAGATGGTGAATCTGCGCTTCTGATTCAATGTCCTGTCCACAGGCAGTTGACAGAAGAAGCCAAGATGGTGAATGGTGTTACCTGCCTGGCTATACAGCATACCAGATGTGTTAATCACAGGATTAGCTGAACAGGGTTACAAATCCTTTTATAGTATAAGAATTTACATGTAATGTGTTTTAGATGTTTGCCTGGAAATTATTGCAGCATTTAATATTGTATGCAATAGACCTATACAGGGGTGGACTGACAACTCATGGGGCCCCCGGGCAATAGGGGATCATGGGGCCCCTGTGTTCTTGCCCAAACTCAAAAAAGCCTATGAAAAAGGTACCAGGGGCATCTCATGGGGCCCCCTACTGACTCCGGGCCCTTGGGCAGCGCCCGAGTTTCCAAATGGTCAGTCCGCCCCTGGACCTATATAATATACAGTAATTGCTTTGACTTTGTAACCTTTTTTTTGGTTTTTGTATATCTTTTACACTTTGTACATCTTGAAGTATGCCCAGTGTGAAAAGTTAAATTTTTAGCTTGTTACAGGGAATGTCTAAACTTATGAAATATTACAGTATATATGTGAATGTTCACAGTCTGGCAGGACTGGGACTAATGAAATGAGGGGAAGATGCATTCAAGGCACAACTGGATTTTTAGCATTGAGAGACACCTGTCATAATATGTGGACTGTCATTATTGAACTCTCATTTTGAAGTTCTAGTTGACTAGCTGTCATTCTTCTACTAGGGCTTCAATTATTTATTACAGGTATTTATATAGCGCTGTCAATTTACGCAGCACTTTACATACAGTATATATTGTGCATTCACATCAGTCCCTGACCCTCAAGGGGCGTACAATCTAAGGTTCCTAACTTACATTCATACATACACATACTGGGGCCAATTTAGACAGGAGCCAGTTAACCTCCCAGCATGTATTTTGGAGTGTGGGAGGAAACCCACGCAGGCACAGGGAGAACATACAGACCCCAGGCAGGTAGTGCCGTGTTTGGGATCCGAACCAACAACCCTGGTACTGCCAGGTGGAAATGCTAACCACTTTGTTATGGAGATAAAGGAATTCCATTTTTTTGCTGCATGCGTGTTCTGGATCCTTGACTCAGAAGTATTGAAGCCAGTCAACAAGCATTTGAAGGGGAGGCATCCTCATGCAGCTTGCAACTCTGCCTTTAAGTTCATTATATTATATTCTGGTCAGTAGATATGAGCCCGAAAACAATAGTGAGTTTGTGTGCTGAAGCACCCTCAGCTGTTCGACATCTGTAGGACCATCCAATCAGAGTGGAGTGAAGCTGAACAGCACAGCAGTGGTAGAGCAGTCCCACTGCACAACATCGCAGGTAGTTCCTTACTGCTCATTGATGTGACAGAAGAGTTATCCCTGTTACTTTCTCTAATGCACCTCAGCAGCAGAGAAGCAAAACACATATCTTTGAGAAATTCTGTGTGTGCGCGCGCGTGCACAAGTCAGCACATATAGTGTGGCCATTCCCGAATGTTGCAGCTCCAGAATACACTTCTACACAGACTGTAAATTAGTATCCTATCTCAAACTATTATAACATACATGAAATTATATAGCGCCCCCATACAAACAGCGCGATTTAACATGCTACAAGTGTCATCTTTTAGGCCTCTTTCAGATGGGGTGGACCCATCAGCAGGTCTGCCTGCTCAGCGGGAGATCTCTCCGCTGATCCCCGCTGAGCAGGCGGATGACAGGACCGCTCCGCTGCTGCAGAGCGGGCACAAACACTGCCCGCTGTCTTCTATGGGGCAGTCGGATGGAAATGGACCGCCTGTCCAATTCCATTCGATCCGATCGACCAGACGGATGGGGAACGGATCCCCATCGGTCTGTTTTTCACGTACATGATTGGATGCAGACCGGTGTCAGCGGCCATTTGTTTGCTGACACCCGCCAGTCCATAGAGGTCTATAGATGGTCCGGTTGGGTCCACCTGAAAAACTGACAGGCGGAACCGATCAGACTGTCAGTGTGAAAGGGGCCTTAGGGTTCATTCACACCTGAACGCTGTGTGGGAAAACCATGTTTTATGTGCGTTTCCCGCACTGCGTTCAAAATGCACTGGGTGTGTAATCTGCTGTGGGTGTCACTATAATACTAGTGTCTTCCCAAATGCAAATCGTAAACCGTGTTTTTGCCTGCACTGGATCGCATGGTGCCACAGTACCATGTGATCTGGTAAAGCAGTATTAAACCAAAAACCAAAATTGAAATATATTGCAGACACTCCTTTTGGACAGCATCATTGTCAGTCTAGGGGGAGGGGAGGGTTAGATTCACTAGCAAATTTAGATACACTAACAAAGTGAATCCACACTCCAGATATCACTTTATAAGCAGTTTCAGCAATAGTTTTGTTCCTTTTTGGGGTAAAGGTTTTACAGCTTGTTCTGTTGAAAAAGAGGCTTACTGGCAGGATCACCAGGTTAAAATAAAAGTAAGAAAGCCTAAAAAAAGAAAACTAATGAATATAATAAATAATTGATTTTGGGTTTTTTAATGCCTTAACTTCAACACACATGGAGATTTGTGCCAAGATGTTAATTATGTACATTATGAATGAAGCTGACTTTGTACATGAATAGTTCACTGTAATCTTGTAGTACAAATTGTTATTCATGTCATGCAGCATCCGCAGCCATTTCTGGACCTCACTTGTTACCTGTGAGAGCACTGAATGAGGTATTTATTGGAGAGTCGCTGTCTTCCAGGTAATTTTATTATGTTACGTCTAATGCTCAGTTATAAACTATCTATAGATTATATAAAATTTTTTGTATAGCAGGAGAAAATATGAAAATATTGCGTGTGTGTATTATTTCATATATTCACACACACATATATATATATATATATATATATATATATATATATATATATATATATATATAAAAATATATAACAATTTTTTTTTTTCTAATTAAACCAACCATGAAGGATGGGCACACACTGCAAGTCGGCCGGTCCCTGCTGAATCGGTCAAATTTCAGTCCATCTATAGCTAGCTTTAAACTGCACTTAATGGTGGAAGACACTGTTGCATTTAGCCATAACACAGGGCTTTATTGTAAAGGAGCAGCATATGTCCACTTTGAATTTTTTATTTAATAATACAGTTTTATCGCAAAACTAAGTTGTGGCGGATCGCGCGTGTACCTTTTTATATGGTGAATGCTGTTCACAAGTGATGCAGTCCTGTTGGGCCTTGAGCAGATTCTGCCCTGTTGGACGGGAACTAAGTCAGACACTGAATCAGAATAAAATCGTGCTTTTTTTTTTTTTTTCTGTGCCTTTTTGATTTTGTATTTAAACCTGTGTATGTGGTCTGTTTACTAACCTCATGCTTGGCTTGTGCTAGGAATTATCTTTTCAGCCTCTAGAATTGTATGCCTATATACATAAAATATATTATAGAGGAACAAAGTTCTTTCTTTCAAACTTTCCTTTTTATAGAATTATGTTTTTTTAGCGGTTGGTATGGCACTAAACTACTCTTGATTGCTGAATCATACTGTCATCTGCCTTGTAGCTGAGGGTGGTAGTCTGCTTTTCACATCACTACATATATATATATATATATATATATATATATATATATATATATATATATATATATATATATAAAATAGGTCTTATAAGACCATGCTTGTCAATTGCCACTGTCCATTAGAACCTGGCCCCATTGTCTTGATATCTCTGCATTCCTGTGTACAGAGGGGAGGGCATGGCTGACTACAGCCTGGAGTGTAGGACTGAACGCCATGATATGAAATGGCCTCTGGTTCATTTGCATTCTTTTGATTGCAATAAAATAATCTTTCAGTTTAGTTACTGTAATTTATGGAATTTCTTACGGGATTTTCAAGTTGCCAAATACCAGCAAAAGCTGGATTTAGCTGTAGAGGCCAGTAGGAAAGTGGACCTAGGTGGACTTAATAAGAGAGAATGTCACCATTGTGGTGTTCGGTGTCCACCAGTGATCCAAGAAGCAGGCCCGAGGTGGAGCTGTTGAAGATGGCTCCAGACACTTGCAAGAAGCGGGAGGGGGGACAGTATTTTTGAGTGGATGCCATTACTATGTAAAGGATGTTGGGGAGGCGAGGGTGGAACATAGGAGGCATCGCCTGCACATGGCGCCATCCATCTGAAGTTGAGATCTGCGAAAATTGCAGAATCTGAAAAATGTTTTTTTTATGCTATGCAAATGTATAGCAAAGTAGAGATGGATGGGCCATAAAAGGTGGAGAAACTTGTCTTTTGGTAGTACTGATGTATGTAACTTATCTGGATGCTTTTTAAAGGGCCCCTGTAAAAGAAAAGTACTTGCCTATCTGACAGGCAGTAGGTTTAATTCTTTGCTCTTTTAAATATCTTGAGGTTTACTACCATCTGACACGTCCAGTTGGGTTTCACCACTGTGTGCCGTGGTTTCACCCTTCAACCCCTCCACAGATCACTGCAGAACAGGGCAGTGTAGGTGTTTGTCAGAAGGAGCCACAAAGCCATCCAGCCTTTGACCGCAGCGTCACCTATTTTTTTTTTTGTGGTGGGTTGCTGGTTTAGGTTTGTTCTCCTAGAGACAGGGTCACTTCAAGCAGATGGAATGAGTTCCTCTTTAAGATACTGGTGATTTAAATGTGAAAGTGACCTAGTTCAGGCCATGTTGAGTTGAGCCATATGTTTTTTCTGGAATGCAGGAATGGCAAGATGAAAAATTCCAGAACATAACGTGCCACTGGCAGTGCAGTCAACATGCAATGCCCGTTTTAAGTCCACCACATAATCCCTCATAAGGCTGCACAGTATATATACTCCTATGGCTTCCTCTGCATTGGCTGCAATTCTCGATCTAGTCTGATATCCGTATACACTGCTGTAAGGTTTGCACACCTGATACACACTTATGTTCTGTCCCATTCAGGGGGAACTATAAATTCTGCAAACCACGTTTTACCTTCTCGCTTCATAGGGCCTCCTACTATGAGATCTCTGTGGATGACGGCCCCTGGGAGAAGCAGAAGAGCTCTGGACTGAATGTGTGCACAGGGACTGGATCCAAAGCCTGGTAATTTTGTGTGAATGTTATTTTTATTTGAATGAAAGTAAAGGGTACACCGTCCAGACTTGTCATTGTAGGACCATGTACAGCAAACGCATATATTTACACGGATCGCAGAGTTAGAAATAGGAGACTCTGGCACTCCCTGCACATTACAAAAGATTTAAGTATAACTAAAGGCCAATCCTTTCTAGTTTTAGACAGTGGAGAGGGATTAGGTCACCTGTCAGAAATGTATTTTGGTCTGAGCCCCCATCAGGGAGATTCACCCTATTTGTCCTGTTTACCATTATCCTAGAAAGTGAAAGTAAAAGAAAAGCCCACATTTTGGGTTGTCCCCAGAAAAGTAAGAGGGGGCACTAGTTCTGTGGACCGGTGGGGCATCACAGAAATTCCCTACATTTGCAGGGGCTTTCTCTCACTTCCCGTTTTGGCTATGGGACAAGAAGTGAAGGTAAATCTCCCCAATGGGACACAGACTGCAAAAAATAAACCAGCAAGGGTTATAACCCTCCCTTACTCTGTCAAGATGAAAAAAAGTTTTGCCTGTCGTTCTACTTAACCTTGACGCTGACAGTATGCAAATATGTGGCCTCTTGGCGTCTGGGCCTTGACGCAGAGTTTCCGCGTATTTGCGTACCATTTGAAAACACATGTGCTGGGAGCACGCACCCTGCGCGCTCCCAGCATATATGTCGGACTCCCGGAAAGGTCCCGATCTCCCCTTGCGATCAGGACCTTTTCCGATCATGTGACTGCTGTGAGAGCGAATTATGGCGGTCACATGACCCTAAAACCCAACCCCCCCCCGCCTCCCGGCATCTGAAACCTCTTAAAGGGCAGGAGGCGACGGCACAAAGAGGTTAAAGTTATTGTACGCAAGATGCAGAGTAATGTGATTGTAAACCCTTACATACAGTCAGGTCCATAATTATTGGGACATCGACACAATTCTAACAGTTTTGGCTCTATACACCACCACAATGGATTTGAAATGCAATGAACAAGATGTGCTTTAACTGCAGACTGTCACCTTTAATTTTCGAGGGTATTTACATCCAAATCAGGTGAACGTTGTAGGAATTACAACAGTTTGCATATGTGCCTCCCACTTGTTAAGGGACCAAAAGTAATGGGACAATTGGCTTCTCAGCTGTTCCATGGCCAGGTGTGTGTTTTTCCCTCATTCTCCCAATTACAATGAGCAAATAAAAGGTCCACAGTTCATTTCAAGTGTGCTATTTGCATTTGGAATCTGTTGCTGTCAACTCTCAAGATGAGATCCAAAGAGCTGTCACTATCAGTGAAGCAAGCCATCATTAGGCTGAAAAAACAAAACAAACCCATCAGAGAGATAGCAAAAACATTAGGCATGGCCAAAACAACTGTTTGGAACATTCTTAAAAAGAAGGAACGCACCGGTGAGCTCAGCAACACCAAAAGACCCGGAAAACCACGGAAAACAACTGTGGTGGCTGACCGAAGAATTCTTTCCCTGGTGAAGAAAACACCCTTCACAACAGTTGGCCAGATCAAGAACACTCTCCAGGAGGTAGGTGTATGTGTGTCAAAGTCAACAATCAAGAGAAGACTTCACCAGAGTGAATACAGAGGGTTCACCACAAGATGTAAATCATTGGTGAGCCTCAAAAACAGGAAGGGTAGATTAGAGTTTGCCAAACGACATCTAAAAAAGCCTTCACAGTTCTGGAACAACATCCTATGGACAGATGAGACCGAGATCAACTTGTACTAGAGTGATGGGAAGAGAAGAGTGTGGAGAAGGAAAGGAACTGCTCATGATCCTAAGCATACCACCTCATCAGTGAAGCATGGTGGTGGTAGTGTCATGGCATGGGCATGTATGGCTGCCAATGGAACTGGTTCTCTTGTATTTATTGATGATGTGACTGCTGACAAAAGCTGTAGGATGAATTCTGAAGTGTTTCGGGCAATATTATCTGCTCATATTCAGCCAAATGTTTCAGAACTCATTGGACGCCGCTTCACAGTGCAGATGGACAATGAACCAAAGCAGACTGCAAAAGCAACCAAAGAGTTTTTTAAGGGAAAGAAGTGGAATGTTATGCAATGGCCAAGTCAATCACCTGACCTGAATCCGATTGAGCATGCATTTCACTTGCTGAAGACAAAACTGAAGGGAAAATGCCCCAAGAACAAGCAGGAACTGAAGACAGTTGCAGTAGAGGCCTGGCAGAGCATCACCAGGGATGAAACCCAGCGTCTGGTGATGTCTATGCGTTCCAGACTTCAGGCTGTAATTGACTGCAAAGGATTTGCAACCAAGTATTAAAAGTGAAAGTTTGATTTATTATTATTCTGTCCCATTACTTTTGGTCCCTTAACAAGTGGGAAGCACATATGCAAACTGTTGTAATTCCTACACCGTTCACCAGATTTGGATGTAAATACCCTCAAATTAAATTTGTTTCATTTCAAATCCATTGTGGTGGTGTATTGAGCCAAAAATGTTAGAATTGTGTCGATGTCCCAATATTTATGGACCTGACTGTATATCCACTGAAGTGACTGGTCTCAAGTGATGCATACAGATGAAACGAATCCTCCAACATAAGTTGTACCTGTTTACCTGCAGTCTCTCATCTCTATATTCGTTCAAGTTCCAGAATTCATA